TTTTTTTCATGGTTTGCGAGGGAACCGCCCCATGACAAAATTTTTAACCGGTGCACATGTGTGGGTAAGATGATTACATGACAAAATTGGGATGCTAATATTACGTGAACTTGTAAAGAAGTCTTTCAAAATTATGTAAGAGATAGAAGCATTATGTAAGCATTTCTTAGCAAAAAGCACATTAATCACCAAAAGATAATGAAGAAGATACTGACCTGACGATTGTCCAGAAGGTATGGAGTGTGAAGGGGGAGTTGTCTGTAAATCATTTTCTTGTGTAGGTGTTTGTTGATTTGCGTCTATATCTGTGTAGGAGATAGATTGCAAATAAAAAAACATTGTTGCAACTGACTAGATTTTTATATGTAAAGGATAAAGATTAGGTGTCATGTTAAAACAGAATCAAAAGAAAAATAAATAGTTACCTCTAACTGGAGTAGACTCCCCAATGCTAGGTATGGCGGTAGCAACATGAGCAGATTCAAGTTCTCTCCTAGGCTCTCTCACCTGACGCTGCCGGTCTTCGCGCTGTGTATCTACAGCAGATTCAAGTTCTCTCCTACGCTCTCTCACCTGACGCTGCAGGTCTCCGCGCTGTAGTAGTCTACGCGATTTGCTCCGTGATGGAACTCCAGACATATTCGTCAAGCCCTATAAAGAATTTTACATTTCATATAAGATATATGTGAAATAGACATATTTATCAAGTTGAATATATAATTTTAAACAACATGCTTTTGATAAAGGTTACCTTTTTCGCTTTACAGAAATGTTAGGTTCTACAGATTCCCTAGAAGTTGTAGGAATATCTACAAGTATTTCACTATTCAAATCATTCCTAACCCATGAAATTTTATCATATTCAGGAGATTTATCTTGACATACAACCCCTCCCTGCTCAAATTCTTCGTCATCGTTGACCTCGACGACCTCTGAATCTATGAACTGTGGGACATCGTAAGTATCCCTGGGCCTCCATCGACATACAACACTCCACCCCGAATGCCTCAAGCACTTCGAGTAGTATACTTGAAATGCTTGTTCTGGAAATATAAATGGATCGTCCTCAAAGGAAAAACGTGTGGTGTTTACACTCGTCAATCCATATTCATCTACCCAAGTCCCGTAATTGTCTCTCCACTTACCAGTTCCAGTCTTCATATCATACCAAACACACTGAAAGACATAAATGCATCCTGCTCGTCCTAGATAGTTGATACCAAGTATGTTATCAAGGTACCCATAGTATATCTCATCATTTGTGCCTAGGGTTGCAATTCCACTATTTTGGGTGGTTCGAGATTCTTCTATAGACTTGATTTCAAACTTGTAACCGCCAACACCGAATCCTTTATAGTATTTAACTTCAGCATCTGGAAGTGTAGCCAAATATCCAAGATCCTTATCTAATATCGATTCTACAGTCGGTAATCGGCTCTGGCAAAAAGGTCAATACGGCAATTACATAAAGATGTTAGATTAAATTGAATGAATAAGTCAAAAAATAAGAAAATAGAAATCTTACATAATGTTTAAACCAATTGCAAAAATTGTCCTGATGATGTGTTTCAACTTGTGCCTCATTCCAATTACTATGCATTACACGTATTTCATCCTTCTGTATTCTAAAGTCAAAAAAGAGTAGGTAATGTGAGAATTATATTATGTCATATAAACATATATAGCATTATGTGAAATAGACATACTCTCTAACTTCTCCAAGGCATTCGATATTGAGAAGGATAAAGCGATGAATCTTGTTGATAAATGCGAGATTCATTCTATTGTAATATGGCTTTTTTGATGGTCCGTCATGAATCACAAGAGGTCTGTTGAGTTTTGTCTCAATGTCTTCATCCAGATAACGGGAACAAAAAGTGGTTACTTCCTCTAGCAGATAACCTTCCATAATAGAACCCTCTGGTCGATTTCTATTGCGAATATAATTTTTCAGAGTGAGAAGGTACCTACAAAAGCTTACACTAAATCACCACATCCAAGATATAAAATAAAAATATGTAAAATAAAAATATATCGATTACGTTAACTGTAAAACTAAAGGTACCTTTCGATGGGGTACATCCATCGATATTGTACTGGTCCGGCAAGCCTAGCCTCGGTTGCAAGATGAACAGTCAGGTGTATAATGATATCAAAGAATGATGGTGGAAAAATCCGTTCAAGCTTGCACAAAATTAAGGGAATTTCAGCCTCTAGCTTCTTCAACTTATCATCCTGTACCTTTCGATGGGGTACATCCATCGATATTGTACTGGTCCGGCAAGCCTAGCCTCGGTTGCAAGATGAACAGTCAGGTGTATAATGATATCAAAGAATGATGGTGGAAAAATCCGCTCAAGCTTGCACAAAATTAAGGGAATTTCAGCCTCTAGCTTCTTCAACTTATCATCCTCGATGTTTTTAGCACACAATTCCCGAAAGAATCTGCAAAAATCATTGATCACTAAACCGACTGATTTAGGGAGAGAAGTTCTGAGAGAGAGTGGAAGAAGATGCTCCATAATAATATGGTGATCATGACTCTTCAACCCTTCGATCTTGCCTTTAACAATCTTTATCTTCTTACTAAATGATCCTGAAAACCCCGTAGGAACCTTCAACTCATGTAACACCTGAAGAAACTTTTTCTTTTCATCTAGTGACATGTGATACACAGCATTAGGGAGTACAAATTGGTCAGGATTGCCTGCCTTCGGTATAGGATGCAACTCTTTTCTAATGTTCCACGCCTGCAGATCCCTTCGAGCTTTAAGGTTATCTTTTGATTTTCCATCTTTACAGAGAAGTAAGTTAAGTATGTGCTCAGATACTCCCTTCTCAATGTGCATAACGTCTAGATTGTGCCGCACTTTATTTGTCTTCCAGTAGGGTAGTTCGAAGAAGATACTTTTCTTGTTCCATCCCTATGGTGTTTCTTGCCTTCCCTTAACTTTTCTGAAAGTCAAGTTGTTTTTATCATTCCACTGAGTAAGTATATCCTCTCCAGATAATGGGTTTGGGCGCGGGCGATTCTCTTTAGTACCATCAAAGTGGATGATATCATCTCTGTACGGATGATTTTCATCCAACATGCGCCGATGGCCGCAATAACAAGTCTTTTTGCTAAAGGGTAGTCTTTTCGATGTTGTCTGGAGATGACAGTAAGGACATGCAGTATAACCATGTACAGACCAACCAGATAGCATTCCATACGCAGGAAAATCATTGATTGTCCACATTAAGGCTACACGCATGGTGAAGTTTGTCCCCGTGTCTGCATCATATGTATCCACACCATCAATGAATAAAGACTTTAACTCTTCGATAAGAGGTCGAAGATAGACATCAATATTGTTTCCCGGTGACTTTGGACCATCAATAAGAAGAGGCATCATGAAATATGATTGGTCCATAGCCAACCACGGTGAGAGGTTATAAATCATCATCACAACGGGCCATGTGCTGTGGGGATTGCCCTTAAAGCTGAAGGGGCAAAAGCCATCACTAGCCAATCCCAGCCTGATATTACGAGGTTCCTGACTAAATGTTGGGTGCCTACTGTCAAAATCCTTCCATGCAGGCGTATCTCTAGGATGACTCATTCGTCCATTTTCACTTGGACGTGCACGGTGATGCCAAGTCATCGCCACCGCTGTCTTCTTACACTTAAATAGCCTCTGCAGCCTCTGTGTAATGGGAAAATATCGTACTATCTTGATAGGTATATCCTTCTTTTGACCATGTACTTTCTTCTTATATCTAGCCTCTCCGCAAGTAGGACACTCCGTATTATCTGAATTTTCTTTCCAATAAATTATACAATCATTAGGACATGCGTGTATCATCTCACACTTCAGACCCAGATTAGACATTATCTTTTGAGCTTCGTACCAGCTATCAGGCACATGGTTCCCCGGAGGCATAAAATCTTTAAGAAACTTGAGGAGCATCGTAAATGACTAGTTGCTCCATTTATTTAGACATTTAATCTGGAATAGATGGACGAACCATGACAACGTGGAGTGTTTTGCATTCTCATAAATGGGCCTCTTAGCATCATTCATGTACTTATCATAATTGTCTTCACGATGCCCTCCGGAAGGAGGATCTTCAGCAGGGTTAGTGTTACCAAGAGCTACCTCAACCATTTCCTCCATTTCCTCATCAATAAATAAGTTGTCATCTTCTTGATCTTCTTCATCTGCATCAATGAGACCTTCAATTTGTCCATGATATACCCAAGTTTTGTAATCGCTAACAAAACCATTCTTCACAATGTGAAGTTCTACTTCTTCCTCCAATTGATGCAACCTATTCGCGCATAATTTACATGGACAAATGAGTCTCCCGTGTCGGATCATATCGTGTCTACGTACAAAGTCCATGAAAGCACTAACTCCATTAACGAAAATAGATTGCATGCGTTCTGCACGACCCACGTACATCCAATCTTTATCTCTGATGTAGTTACGAGCCATGATAACCTAAATAAAATAATTCATTAGTAACGACTTCTAAAAACATGGATTTAGGAATAAGCTAAGCATGATCATTACTTTGCTTCGAATATAGGGTTACAATTAAAAGCCAAAAAGTAACTGATTTATATACAAACTTGACCCAAACCTATAAGGATTTTACTCCAAGTACTATTGTCATTTGTTGATTTATCCAACACGCAGATTGAATTGTTGGGTAATGAGTATCATTTATAGCTCCAACTCCTATTATTCTCTTGGACAGTGCTTTCTGAGAATCTAATTGATACTATTGAAGATCAATTATTTTGAAATTGAATATTTATTTTTCACTTCTTTTCCCTTGCAGCAACTGAACAGATACCTATCTTAGATGGGGAGAATTTAAAATTTAAGGTATCAACTGGTGCTGACAGGAGTGACGATGAAGCATCAAAAAAAGTTCCGTTGTATGTTATCTTAAACTCATACTTTCTGCTACTAATACTGATTGCTTAATGCTTCTAGAAAGAAATACTTCGATTGGGAACATTTTTATTAAATAGATCTGAATTTATTATTAATAATATCAAATATAAGCTTGCTATAACCAGTTCTTAGCTCTAACGGGCAACAAATTCACCTTGGCTTTTGATAGAATCATAGGGTTCACTCCAAACATGTTGAATGTTAAAAAAGAATAAAAAAATCAAAAATTAACAATCTGAATATATGATATTTCCCCAATTTGAAAGGAAATTGAGACCTTGTTAAATATAAACACGTCTCTTCCTCAATCTCGAAACCAAATCTCAAAAATTAAAACAGGAAATGAAAATCGATTTGAGTAACAGGAAACCAAATCTCAAAAATTAAAACAGGAAAAAAAAATTTCACATCAAAATTGCTCTTCGAGAGAAATCTTTAAAGGGGCGACCTGAGGAGGAGGCGGTGGAGGCACACGGCGAAGGAGGAGGCGATGGAGGCACGTGGCGGAGGAGGAGGCGGTGGAGGCACACGGCGGAGGAGGAGGCGATGGAGGCACGTGGCGGAGGGGGAGGCGGCGAGAGCGGCGCAAAGATGAGTGGCAGAGGATCGCGGGGGGCGACGAAGATGAGTCGGAGGTGCGTCAGGCAAAGATGAGGCGGAGGCGAAGATCGACTTGAGTAGACGAGAGAGGAGAGGGCGAAGATCACGAGTGAAATTTGGGGAGGACTTGAAATTTGGTATTTAGATATCGATGAAATTTGTTGGCGCCGCGCGGGTGAAATTTGGGGAGGAAGCGCGGGTCATAAAAATTCCTGGCAAATTTTTTTAACCCTAACATAACTCCCAAACGGTTTTAACCCGTTTGGGCTCAAATATCCCAAACAGTTTAACCCGTTTGGAAGCGTTGTTTGGGATTATTTAATAGCCCAAACGGTTGTAACCGTTTGGAATAATTAACCCAAACGTTTTGAACCATTTGGGATATTTCGATTTGTCCAAACGGTTCTAATAACTGTTTGGACAGATCAGTTTTGTACTAGTGTATGTGACTCATTGTATTTGAGATTCAGTTCAGACTCAGAGATATGTCTATTTTATACCAGTTGGGCTCATTATTGATTTTTTTCTTATACTTCTTCTGTGTATATCCAGTGTTGTCCTATTTCTATTTTTTACCTGTCTGTACCTTCACCTATTTATTGTTTTCACTAGAGAGATAGTGATTGTGATGGTAAAACTTGTCATAGCATGTTGTTTGGTGCTTGGCAGGTTTGACAATCCGGGTTTCACCTGGGACTATAGCCTTTTGTGAACCATGGGGCGTCACACACGTCAATTGACAAGTAGGCGATAAAGAAAATACCAAAATACTCGTCAATCATAAATAGAATACTTTGATTTCTTTAGGATAAGAGAAAGAGAGAAGAAGAGGGAAAAAATATTGTAAATTGATTAAGATCTTTTTATAGGTTATGGTTTCTTTAAAACTGAATGGCTTGATTTTTAAAAAGATGTTATAGTTATTTTAGATTTTGAAATGACGTTATAGGGTGTTTTGGTGAGAAAAGTACGAAAAATTAAGGGATGTTTTATTAGACACTGCATAGATGAGGGGAATATTCTCTAATTTTAAAGCTGATTGGGTTATCTATAGTATGCCCAAACTTTTTTTTTTTTTTTTGGGGGGGGGGGGGGGGGTTCTTAAATTAAAATAGTTGACGAAGTTTTGTAAGGCATCCATCATAACTAAGGGCTTTCTAAAATTAACCCTAAAATTATACATGTGTCAGATTATATTTAAGGTGATAGAGTAATCTCCATGTTAAAATATTACTAATGAATTGGTAAATTCTATTGTTATTTATTAATTTGATATCTATGTTAACATATTTTTATAAAAAGGGGTTATTCCACATCTCTCTTCAAAATATTAATAGAACACAAGTCTCCATAAAAAACATACAACATGTAAAGATCTATAAAATTAAAATTTGTCTATTATAAAAATTTTGTCTATGATCTGGAAAAAAAGAAAAAATGAAAAAAGAAAAAATGAAAAAAAGAAAAACAAATTATTTACATGGATTGCCTAAAATACTATCCCTAATTCTTCCTGTTTATCCAATTTTTTCCAATACTTAGATTGAAATTCTAATGGGTTCTTAAGATTATTCTTGACATAAATATTTGGATTCTTAATATTATTTTATAGATATTTTAAAACTAGTTATACTTTTCTAATTAAGTTAAAACTCTACTGCAAGAATCACAAGATTGGGATTTAAGCGTGACTTATTTTAGATTAAGTCAATATATAAAGGTCTTATATTTCATCTAACTGAGATATTTTATTTAATTGTTTCATATTACATAGTTTAACTCAATCTCAAAAGTTTGTTTTAGAGTGAAACATCAATGTAAGATGACCTTATCAACTGGCCAAATTTAGCAATTCCTACATCAAAGAGATGTCATCGTCTTTTGATCACGTAAGTAGTGCCAAGCTTTTTTTATCTTTGTTTATTTAAATATTATAAAAAAAAGAAGAATATTATAAAGGAGAGTTTGATGGGTGAACTGCCTAATTTTGAATTTGAATAAAAGCTATCTACGCGTTCATTTGGCAAGCTGATTTTTTTTCTCTTTTTAGCTTAGAATATTATAAATAAAAAGGAATATTGAAATAGAAGTCATGCATCCCTTTATTTTGAAATTCTTTCAAGTTTTAAACAATTTTAAGAAAAAGCTGACTTTTTTTCTCATTTGGCAAGGTGTTTTTTTTTCTCTTTTGAAATAAAAGTCATCAATCCCCTTATTTTGAATTTCTTTCAAGTTTTAAACAATTTTAAGAAAAAGCTCCTAGTCAGATTATCAAATATTCAGTAATCCATTTGCTATAAATTATTGGTGTAAGCCATTTATATGCTCTTATCTATAAAAAATAGAAAAGAAAAAGCAGCAGTCCAAAAAATCTGTTCAATTTAATTTAGAAGCACATACATATGTTTAAAGAGGAAATATATAGCAACTAAACAAATTAGACTTAAAAAATTAGACCTCTTACTTTCCAAGCTAATGATGCATATTCAGTTCCTGCTATTTGCTCTATACTAATTTGTTTGGATGAAATATAAATTAATTACTCCATATGTAATACTTACCTGTGCGAACACGTGCCAAATACTTGTGTTACTAGAAATAAACAAGTAGCTAAAGTTATGTCTATCTTAATATTTTCACTTATAATAATCTTTAAGCATAGTTTCAAACTAACAATTTAACTGCTTTTAGAACCAAATTATGATAAATGATTTATAGATGACTAGTTTTAGCAACTTCTAATGCTCATATAAATAACTGTTTTAGCAACTTCTAATGCTCATATAAATAACCTAATATAAATTCCAACAATACCAAAATGGCCTCTCTGTCTTCATATTTTTAATTTATACCCTCAAATGCTTAAGTTGTTTATAATTAAACCTCAATTTATATTTTGTCCAGATTTGTTATTATAATGTAATTAAAAGTTAATTATGATAGATAAGTTACTTTAGTTATACTGCCTCATCTTTATAGTTTTTCTATAGTTTACACATTTATGTATTAATCTTTCAATCTTTATGTGAACTTACCTACCTTTTATATTAATTTGTCCAAGGGCGGGTGTGATCACTTTGGTTTGTATATCTGTTTTCTTTGATCTTTCTTTCTTCTTTGGTTATGTCCATGCAAATAGTTTATATCTATGATTTATAATATATATCTACAGAAAATGACAAGGTATTGCTCTTAAAATTTCCCCATAGCGTTCTGAACGTGATACATGAGGTTAAAAGTAGAACGCTTAAATTTTCGAATCCAAAATTTTTTAACTTATGCCAGAGCTTTTTTCCTTAGATAGTTTGAAATTCAAAAAGAAATTCAAAATAAGAGCGTTGCTGACTTTTATATCTAAACATGAGATCCAAATTAAATAGCAAAATAATGCCACATGTCATATGTTATTTTAGTATTTTATATTTCTTATATCCATCTTTTATATATAAGAGAAATTGGTGGCGCTCCTAAATATACAAAACAACACCATTAAAGCTTACAAAACAATACCACATGTCATATGTTATTTTATAATGATAAATTTAATTATTTTCTATCTGTAATTAGTATCCTCACCAAATCAAACCTAGCCTAAGTAAGAAATTTCTAATTATATTAAAATATTTGGTAATTGCAATACAATCATAATTACCCATAACAAAAAAAAAATTAATAATATTATTTTTAACTCTCTTTAATTATCCATAATTAAAATATTTAATAGTCATGTTTTTAATTCTAAAAAATATAAAACTTTAAACAAACATCCAAAAAATTTAAAAATTACAAAAAACAACCTTTAAATTCTAAAAATTACAGAGAGTCCTATTAAAAAATCTATTAATTACACACAACCCCTTAAAATCCTAAAAGTTATAGACAAGTCCTCAAAAACACAAAAAACAACAAATATATACCATAAAAATGCAAAA